AACCACCGCTTCCCAGTCATTCTTTTTCCCGTTCAAATCAGTTTCAAATTTTTTCGGATAGAAATCGATGATTGGACTCGACGGCTCACACATAAGTTCCTGAAGACTCGCATTTCAGAGAGAAAATCACAAAGCCATCAGACTGTGAACAATGACATTTGATGCCATTCGCAACGTGCAAAGAAAACTAATTAATGCTAGTAGAGAATTCAAACAAGCGCGTCCCACCCAAAACTACGCATTCCCTTAACAAAAAAGTGCTGCACATCCATGGCACCTTTTATTACAGTTTTGTATTATCAAGCCGAATTTAGTGCCCATTTAATTATACGATTACTTTTTCTAAACAAACTTTTGCCCCTTCCACTCCCATCCCGACAATTTTGACACTCCCTGTCTGCGGAAGATGTGGGCAACCATTTCCTTCAACATGTACTGCACGGACTTATGCATTCTTACAGAAAGTAAAAACGCATGAAAATCGGAAACAAAGTTGTGCAAAGGCAAACCTGAAAACAAAGGGGCAAGCAGTCAGCGCTGGCAGCTGGCAGTACAGCCAATAATTGCTCGAACGGGTGAAACGGCTCATTTAATTCGAAGTTCATTTGCATATCCGCGAAATCGGTAACATCTGATATATAAGGAGCGTAATGGTGCGGATAAAACCTGAAAAATGACTGTTTTTTCACTGGCACCCAGAAAGCCAATAGCTCAATGCAAACCCACCAGCTCCAGCTGCAGCATCCATGATAATAGTAATGAAGATTCCATTGAATTGCACGCACATATCCCTCGGCCTGCTCGCGCAACTCGTCCTTACTTATATTGTCATACTTCATTTTATCACTATAATAACCGCGTTTGTGATCCTTGAACGCACGATTTACTGACGGCGTCCACGCTGCCTAAAACAAGCAAACCGTTTTTCTTGACAATAAAGACAAAGATTTTTAATATTAAGCCACAAAAGATCCACTGTTTTAAAATCAAGGAGTGAAAACTAACGTCTCTGCCATTTTCGCAGTGACAGGAAGCATCAGGAAGCAACTCCTCATCCGATTCTTTATCAAGCCCAAACATCCCATCTAAATAATTATCAAGTACAAATATCTTATTCCATTTTCAAACGTACAAAACTTCCAACAGCTGCTGGCGGCCATATGTAAATGAAAGAGGGACTCACGAAATGAAGTACTGGAAGAAGACTTTTGCGCGGAATTTTCAACATCGTCCTCCGAAACATCGCTGTCGGAATCAAATGCTCCCTTACAAACATTTTTTTCAGTCTCTTCCACAGCAGACGTATCAAATGCTTGTAAATTTTCATCCTAAAAGCATCAAAAAGTTCCTCATTTTTGTGGCAGTAAAAACCCAACCATCGAACAGAGATACTCGCACATTTGAATAATTTTTCAGATGCTTCTAGCAAATTTTTTCATTAATGTGCACTGCAAGTTTATACACGAAGGTACTTAAAACTTCCTCCCTTCCCGGATACGCCGCTACAGATTATATTCGAAAAAAGTTGAAAAAAAAGTGGGTTGAATCCTCTTGTTCCCTAAAAAAACCCGTTTGCATGATTAGACTGAGTGTGCAAACTGCTCTGGCCAGTGGAGATTAAGCATCTGGCTGCGAATCCGCTTATCATTCTGGAAAATCATCTCAATTCTGGATTTCATAAGAGACGACTAAAATGTGCGCAAACAGCTAATCCCGTTGACAACGGAATTAGCGGCCAGCTGCGCTAACAAAATTGCGCAGTCGCATTTTCAAGCGCTGCTCTTTTCTTAAAAAATGTGGAGTATGCATAGGGTCTCGATTTTTGACTACTAATTTCCACAAGCACGAAAAATTTAACACGCTCAATTGGAATATGAACTTCTCTTCCATTACTCTTTCAGTAACTCTTTCCTACATTTCTAATCCTTACTGCTGGGCTGTATAAGGGAGAGAGGCAGCACCAGCGGATTTGTGAGATTTGTCTTCGTGTTGTGCCTACACAAAAAACATGAATTTGCGATGTGCTAAATGCGCAGCGAGATTTTTAGATGGACACCTCCATCCGCTTCGGTTTTCTCGTGTTCTTGAAAAGTTATTGTGACGGAACTTAATGCAAGAAAAGTTCGTGTGCATTTGAAACAGCAAAAAATTAGACAAGATTCTTGGAATGCATAACCAAAACGACTAACGCTGTGTTCAGTTGGACGATTCTGGTCATGCGCAGCACGACCCGCCCAAGCATTGGAAGTCCTCTTGCTAGAGAGATATGTTTCATCATCCATCTGTTCAATAAAATTCTTCCGATCATTCTTCGAAAAATTTTTCAAAAAAACTTCAAATCGCTTTAAATTCAAAATGCCGGCCTCATTTATATAACCTGAAATCAGAAAAGTTAGAGAGGAATGCCAAGAGAAAAAAAAAACTTGCAAAGGGAGCTCCTTTCAATACCACAAGCATCAAATGCAATGATGCACGAGCCAAAAACGCGCTCATTGATGGAAATGAAAACAGAAGCTCAGGCTGCCGGTATGAAGAAAACAAAACGGGGAGTGCACTGAGCGTCTTTCGTAACCATACAAAACAGCACCGCGCACCAGGATAGCCTATGCGACCATGTGTCTTGCGCAGTTCCGTCCAGCGACCATTTACCTGCTAAGGATTTTCACTGCTTTGCACTTAGGTCTATGCAAAAACAGTTGAAATGTTGTCTGGTTCCAAAGTTGCGAAATTTCCCATTAAAAATTTCACTTACTGGTACATGAAAGCTGAATTTAACGTTCCCACTCCGAATCTGAAATTTTACGGTAACTTTCCCACTCCTTCCAAAACTTCAACCTCCTAATTTTGTTTTTGACTGATTCCCGCGCCAAAACTTTTATATGGTTAAGTGAAACCTCGGCATACTTGGGAA